ATTACTCTTCTCCTACAACCAAGCAAGCAGCAAAAGGCACTCAGGCCTTTTATAGGGCCTGAGACCCAGACAGTGTGAACCAATAGGAACTGACCATTTTCGCGCCTTGTGCATGCGCACAATTCTGGCGCCAATGCTGGTTTGCCCGGGACTGTTTGCAACAATTCTGAGCCTGCTTTCTGCTCTAGCAGGCTCAGGACACAACAGGTTCGATATAGTCTGCTTGTAGCTACACAGAGATTCTAGGCCAATCCCTCTTTTAATGCCGCCACCCCCCAAGGTTCTCTCACTTCTTCCCCTGCATCACCGTGCACATTATCTGTTTCCTTTAAATGTATCTTTTTCTGTACATCAGACAATCCCTTTTCAATCTTAGTCAGGCCTCCTTGGGCTCTTCCAAAATTTTCTACAGAGTTGTTATTCTGAATGTGATGGGTAGATTATGAGGCAGATATTGAATACTGTAATAAATTTAGCTTGTTTAATTAATTAAATGCAACTTCCTTTTTTAAAAAAAAAAATGATTTTTATTAAAAAAATTAAACAAGTAGGTTAAAAACTAACACAAACTAATAAGTAGGGAGAATAAATAAATAAGCAAGCAAGCAAGCAAGCAAAAATCATAAGGAAATAAATGAAATCTGAGTCCAAAGGGGGAATGGGTGTGGAGAAAGCATCTCAAAAAGAAGCTTTCCTAGTTCTCTAGTCTAGAAAGTAAAGGCAGGGAAGGGGGGGGGGACATGCTTTGAGACTTGCAAATTCTGTTACTGCAACTTTACATAAAGGTAGCATTAGAATTCATGGTTATAGTTTCCTGTCTGGTCTGTCTAGAAGGGCTGACAACAGTCATCTAGGCCATTTGATATGGGAGGTCCTTAAATGTAGCAAATAAATGTCCTGTTCCTCATTAAATAATTTTTCTGAAGTACCTTTGGTGGTTCTATCTAAAGAGGAAGTTTCCAAGAGATGATTAAACCAGATGTGAAAACACACACCAGCTCAGTTTTCAAATAACAAGGGAACTTAACTACAATTGCTGATTTTTATTTTATATGATTAAATCATCATCTAAACCTGGAACAGCTCAGTTAAAATAAAAGGATTATAGCTCAGCATGTTGTTTATAAGCTCTGTGCAACTTCGTTTTCTAATGCAGCATCTGCAGAAGCACAGGCATGCTAAGACCTTTAATACTAGAATACTGAAGAAGAGTTGCACAGGAGAAAAGTCTGCAGAATAGAGATATGGTATAATCCCAAGGAGCAGGTGTAATTAATATTTGTTATCATGCTACAGTCAAAGAGAAGCACCTTCCAAGCATACCTGCCCAGATACAATATTTATATTTGCTAGGCCCTTTGGAAAGATACTGGAGCAAGTCAGAAGAGCAAGAAAGATTTTAATAAAGATATTGCTGAATTCAGTGGGAGTTTAGATATGTGTCCTGTTGTGCTATGATTGGAGGCCTGGTTGAGTTTAGTAAGGAACAAAGACACGGAAGAAATGCCCAGTTAAGGAGGAAATGCTGTCATGTTTGGCTATAAGGCAGATTATGTAAACCACCATCCAAATGAACAAATAAAGCTGCTACCAATCATAAAATTAAAGATGGCCTAAATTTTTCATTATGCTCAGCCTTCATATCCAACTGGTTATGTTATTTAACAAAGCTTGTGTTTGCATTTTGTTTATCATGTAGCAAGCATATGCAAAGAATCAAGGTGTCAGAGAAAGTCATTACACATAGAAGATTCATACATTGACAAAAATAAAACAGGATAGGTAAATTTTTCATTATATCTATCCTCATGTGCAATATACATTTTCCTATTATCAACTTAGTGTTTTCTAGTAATTCCTCCAAAATATCATAAGCTGTATATCACTTCAAGAATGGTTGGGTGGTGCTCATGACTCACTAATTTTGCTTACCTCTTGTGTGAAAGTTGGAAGACGGAATAGATTCCTAATTCCCATCTTTTTCTTCAGGTGCAATCCAGTAGAAACTGTGGTCCTTGCCCATAATGACTGAGTTCTCTCAGTCTGTAGAGCAGCTTCCTCTAAACCCAGAGGTATCACGTGTGTTGTTACTGATGTAGTTGAGTTTTGCACATTAAAGACCCACCACAGCTGGAGTGGTATCTATTCTATTAAGGCTGGCATATCCAAGTGCTAACTTGTTGAAACAACTCCTTGGATGTGAGAATGCTTACAGATTTTATGTATCTTGTCTAGGTATAGTATAATATAACAAATTTGCAAGGCCTTCTTCTCATAGTATGTTGGGAAAAAGACAACTTCTAACAGAAACGTCTCAGCATTAGCAGTTTTTCAGAGAAATCCAGATAAATTGGCTAGGAAAGCCTTTGCATAAGTTATGCCCTTTCCTAGATCTGGAGTCCCTGAGCTCAGTCACTCAAGCCATGGTCATCTCATGCTTTATACTACTGCAGTGCGTTCTACATGGAGCTATCCTTGAACAGTATTTAGAAGAGATGCTGAATGTGGCAGCATGGGAAGGTCTTGGGGCCTCTAGGGTGGCCCATGTTACAACTCTGTTCTGTGAGCTGCACTGATTGCCTGTTTGCTTCCAGGTATAACTTAAGGTGTTTGTTATTACCTTTAAAGCCCTTCATGGCATGGATTCATACTATCTGAGGAACCATCTCACCCCAATGGGATTGCCCCCCAAAACCGGTTCCGGCAAATGGACATGCTGCGGAACCTGTTGATCAAGGAATTTTTTGCCCTTTGGAACATTGTGCCCCTTGAGGTGAGACCCACACCCCTCCTTCTGATCTTCTGTAAGGGCTGAAGATCTGGCTCTGCCAGTTGGCCTGGGGCCCCAACAAGGATGCATCATGCTGGAGATGACTGATGGATTAAGACCAGACCCCACCTCCCCCGTGTCCATCTTGCTCCTTTCCTCCCCATATTTCAATTATTAATTATTACTATTATGATTATTTATTGCTTCAATGTTTTATTGGCTTTTAATGTTTGTAAGCCAACCAGAGTTGTACCTTGGAGAGATGGGCGGCAAACAAGCAAACAGGCACAAAGCTGTGTAAATGTTATGCTGAATTTTGATTTTGATAGATTAAATCAGGGAGGGTCTTCATCTTATGTATTACATTTTCAGAATTTGTCAGCAGATTTACTAAGCATCTTTTACCATGACATTGGTACTTTATAACGGTGGTCTCTGTATCTACGCTTTTAGTAGCAGTACCTACTATATAACTGGAAAAGTGCAGTTGTAAACATCATGGAATTGCTTAACTTAATATATTCAGAACCATACTGTAAAGAACATACATCAGATATAGAAAGGAAGAGCAACTTGACATGAAAATGATTGTGCCTCTCCAATATTTTAATTTGTCCAATTAATAAGGTGGTTCTGGCTATGGCATTTGGAATTATTTGCTCCATTTTTCTTTCCAGATAAATGATCCATCCATATATATAAATGTGAAAATGAATCATTTATATTTATGGCTTTAAAAATCTGCTGAATATATAAATACATAAAGAAATATGGTACCAGCATACCTAAGAGTCATTATTCTGATTCAATGAAAATATAGATTTGGAATCTGGAGTCTGAGTTTGCAGACAATTTTCATATCTGGTTATTAAAAAAGCGCCTATGGCCCATGTGCCCAGTACATTTGGTCTGCACTATGTGCGGATGAGTAAATCACAGACTAAATCATCACCGACTTAATAAAAATGTAGCTACAATTGGTTCAGCCTGTACAATATTACATGCTCTAAAATAATACAAAAAACATCTTCATAAGCATCTTTTTTTTCTACTCACAGAGTTTGGTTGGACCAAAAAAGTGAAGGACACTTGAGAGAATAAAATGCATTCTTTTTTGAAATGTGGTCTTCAACATGCCTTGCCAACCTGGTGAGGACCTCAAAATGCTGGAAGTTGTGACGCAATGCAACAAATCATGGCTTTACAAATTTCAAAAACTGGGTTCATATACAGCATTGTGCTAAATCCAGATCAGACCAACCACATGTTCTCTTCTGTAAGTTGTTTAGCTTTACAAAAGATATGAATAGAGGATATATGAACCGTGCCTACTCTGAAGTACAGAACAACCCATGCCTTAAGGCAGCATTTTTTCCAACCTCAGCAACTTTTAAGATATGTGGACCTCAACTCCCAGAATTCCCCTCAGCAAAGTCCACACATCTTAAAGTTGCTGAGATTGATAAACAAGGCAATGTATGAATGGACCCACACTTTTTGGACAGAATGGGACAAGAGCCGAGGTGGCGCAGCAGTTAGAGTGCAGTACTGCAGGCCACTTTAGCTGACTGTGTTCAGCAGGTCAGCGGTTCAAATCTCACCGGCTCAAGGTTGACTCAGCCTTCCATCCTTCCGGGGTAGGTAAAATGAGGACCCAGATTGTTGGGGGCAATGTAAATATATATATACATTGCTTACTGGTGTACACCGCTTAGAGAGTGCTTGCACTTAAAGCGGTATATAAGTCTCATAAATAAATAAATAAACTTGTAGCAGCCAACTAGCCATGGCCAACTCACTGTGGAACAATTCAAGTATTTAGAATAATTGCAAAATTATTTTAGTTTTGTCATTCACATTTCATTTTATCCCTCCTTTTGTATCCTTTCTTTAATGATTCTATTCCACCATTTCTTGCCCTAGAACGCTTTTCTGATGCCTGCGTATGCCATTAGCTACCTGAGAAGCTGGAATAAGGTCCAAAAATGTCCTCATAAACTTTGTTTTATTCAGAATGCTGGGTAATTGGTAAAGGATGTCTTGAGCATATTTTTTTTGATGTTTATCCTGTTTTTCTATTCAATTCAGTCCTGCTTTACAACATTACAGAATGCTGAATTAAAGCCATTGCTGAAATTAATTCCCAGTTAATGGAAGGTTTTTCTCCCCTTTCAGAGGAAAAAGAGTTCTCCTTGATCCAAACACACCAAATAAAGAGGCAACACTCCCCAATGTTACAAAATCTTGTATTAATCATCTCCCTTCACTTTCAATATAACGTTGATATGAAACATAGGCATGATTCCTAGTTACATGGAAGGAGAACGAGTAATAAATATATATTGTAGCAAGTTGAAATCACAAGGGTGTTTCACCAGTAATAACAACAAATTGAAAACTGTACATTTGCAAAGAAATTACAGCATTCCCCAAACATTAGACTTTTCCCCTGCCCCTCCTTCTTCTTCTGATTAATCAGGAAGCTGATACATGTAAACAAACATGCTATTTCCATATATGACAAATTTCTTTTAAAAATATGCATTGCTTGGCAACATTAACTAGGCAAAAATATTTCTTTGTGCACTAACTTTATGCAGGGGAAATACACGCTTCCCCCTAACCAAAATAAAACAAAATAAAACAGAAAAAAGAGATCAAGACTAAAATGCATGCATGTACAATAGAAGGCTCTTTTTTCATTTTTGCCGATAGCAGGCATGCAACAAAATGGAAATCCAAGCTGTTTCAGTTGCTTACAGTAGGCATAAATACATAAGGGTTATATATTAATAAGGGAAGAAGTATTCTGTTTTATTTTTAAACATTTATTAACATTCCTGTTTTCTTGCAATTCCTCCCAGAGGAATACACATTCACCTTTTAAGTAAAGATTAAAGGAATACAAAAAATAAAACTCACTTTGCAAACTTTGATGACTTGTATAAAATCAACTTTAGTGTTATCATAGCTGTGTGCAAATTATACTTTCTACAAGATCTACTCTTTCTACTTCTTAGAATCAGGCACATCCAGAAAACCCTTGATGGGAGAGGCAGGAAGGGGATTGTATTCACTACATGCTACAAGAAAGGTGGACTTGCTACTGTTCTGAACATCTCTTTGCTTCTCTTCCCCATCTCATTTAGTGAAAGCAGAGGATGCAACACCCCTGAGGCCAACAGCTAAAGAGACAGGATACATGCCTGTAGGTCACATTTTGTGTGTTCCTAAGTGAGATGGGGAAGGAGAAACAAGAACATCCAGAGTTTCTAATTTAGCTGCTTGAAACCCAGAAGAAGAGAAACACTAAAGAAGTTGACAGTAAGGTGGACCTTGGATTCTAGGGCTAAATCAGAGCATAATTCTGCAGCCACAGACAAGGAAACACCTACAAAGTTGTATGTCTCCCATCAAAACAGTTCTTTGTTCAGGGAATAGAGCAGGTCAGCAAGAAACATTCTTCTGCCTGCTCCCAAGAAAAGACAAGGAAAACAGGGTTGAATCTTGATATCAAACTGGAAAAGGTTCCAGTTGCCAAAAAGGAGCAGCAAACAGCACAACGAAAGATTTGTTTTTGTTGATATTTTTGTTTCTTGGCCTCATCTTAGACAAGAGGAAAAGGCACTGCCAAAGCTCAATGTCTAATAAAGAGGCTGCCTCATGGCAGGCGGGTTTGTAATCTTCTTGAGTTTGAATACTCAAGCTTGTCCAGAGTAATTTGCAAGATAAAAAGCCTTCTTCAGAAGGACAAAAGCAGCAGCTCAAGGCAAGCTCTACCCCTTTCTTACATGCATGCAATTTCACAACACATCTACCAAAGGAATGGAGCTTCCATTGTGACAATGTTGCTTATATTACCAGTCCCCTGGTGACAGCCACCTGCAGATGCCGCTGAGTTTACCACACAAAATGAACACAGAGTCTCACTATCTATGGGTGGGACATTTGTCTACCGAATCCTAACTCCTCCGATTAATCTCACTCCCTATAGCAGGGGTGTCAAACTCACAACGTCACATGATGTGTTGCGACATATTGCAACTTTTTTCCATTGCTGGCAATGGGGTGGGCGTGGTTTCACCATGACGCATCCGGCCTGTGGGCTGGCAGTTTGACACCCCTGCCCTATAGGATTCTAGCACAAACATGATGCTCTCAATAAGCTGTTTGTTTATGGAGCTCTATGTGGAAGCCCATAAATCTCTTGCATGAAGCTCCAAAGCCTTTCCGTGCTTTAAAGAGCCATTAGATTAGATCAGTGTTTCTCAACCTTGGCAAATTGAAGATGTTTGAATTTCAACTCCCAGAATTCCCTAACCTGCAGAGCTGGCTAGGAAATTCAGGTAGCTGAAGTCGTCACATCTTTAAGCAGCCAAGGTTGAGAAACACTGGATAAGAGATAACATTGGGATTAGATGCTACAAAACAGAAATACATTCCTTTTTAAGCCAAGCTACTAGTCTCAGTAAAGTGTGTTTATTACCTAAACAGGCCAAAGCTGAGTCTTGATGACCAATCTTTAAATCTCTTTAAATAACAATGAGTGACTAGACACTTTGGGTGCTGAGCTGGAAGGCCTAAAAAACGTTATCCTGGCTAATTCACACGGGGCATCAATAATTGGGAATTTAACAATGCTGATTGGGGATAAAGCAGCGCATCAAATGGTAGTCACCTCTCATCGCCATATAATCAGGCTCTTTTCTAAATGTAATAATTAGCCACAGGACAAGTACTAAGGCCTACAGTTTATTTCTCCATTGTGAATCATAGTCAAAGACCCTTCAAAATGCTGAACTGCTTTGGGTTGCAATACAGAAAGTTATCACAGTGGAGATAATAAGTATGAAAATGCCTCAGCTACTGCATTACTGGATTTTTCCTCTTGTCAACTACTATCCCTCAAATAAATTTCAAAGCAGCATAAAAACTAGAATTCATCCCCTTACCCTCACATCCCCAATTATGTTACATAAATTTGTCTGTATTTCCCCATTCAACAAGTGTCATAAATCACTAGAAAGAAAAGCACCAATATAAATTTCATACATGATAACCGCATAGTAAAAGTTATCTCTGGCAGAGCAGGCAGAGGTATTCAGCTTACACACTCTTGTAATGAGAACAAGAAAAAAAAATAGAACACACATTTCTATGTAGTGAAATAGTTTGCATTTTCTGAAACTATCATATAATTGCTTATTATAAAACAGTTGCATTGAGCAATAAATGGTAAATACAAAAATGAAAGGCACTGCCACTTTTTAAAAAAATACTAAACATTTGACTTCCATGGCCTTCAGCATGCAACTATTATTTTTTATAAATACATTTAATTTTATTTTGGATAATTCTGGAGGTTTTTTTTTAAATCTTCTACGTTTTCTACCTGCACTCAATACAGGATTTAAGAGGAAGGGATGGTGGCTTCTAAAATGTATCTGAAGCCTATGTTCATTACACAAGATACAAAAAGCATGCTCAACTTAGCAATGTACCTACACACAGTGTTCATGGAAAATAAGTTCTCTTTTCCAAAGGGGGAAAAATAGAAGAAAAATGTATATGGTTATTAACACCAGAATTTTACATGGGTACCAGCCATAGCAAGTTATGTCACATGTCTATCCAAAATAATATATCTCAATAATCAGATAACTTCTGTTTTCTATATTCAGCAAAGGAATAAATAAACATTTCAGATTTGTTAAGTGTTTTGACTAGATTTCCCCAACGTGGTGCTCTGCAGACACAGATAGACTAAAGCAGGGGTGTCCAACCGTGGCAACTTTAAGACCTGTGGACTTCAATTCCCAAAATTCCACAGCCAGCATGGCTAGCTAGGGAATTCTGGAAGTTGAAGTCCACAAGTCTTTTAAATTTTCAAGATTAGGCGGCCCTGGACTAAAGCTTCCTTAATCTATAATAGCACCCTGATTTTGAGGAACCATTTATTTTTCTTACTTCTCCTCTCCCCAGCCCTGATTCCTGCATAAGTACATGGTTTATAGACTTCCAAAATATTCAAGAGTCTACAGAACTGTTCCCTCAGTTTCTACATCCAAACTATGCCACCTGCTTTCCCTATCCTACCGCAACCAATCAGTCTATTTTACACAGCAGCCTCACCTAACCTGGTCTCTTCCAGATACATTGTACTACAACTCCCAGAATTCCTTACCGCTATGGCCATATACCATGCTGGTTGGGAATCTGCAATGGATCTACAGTTGGGAAAGGCTGATCTACAGCAATGAACAAATATGTGAATCCATCAATTTCAAAACAACCTCTGCCTAAAACTACTAGCCTAGCAAATTACATCTTTCTCAGGTGCCTTAAAAATCACTTTCCAAAATCTTTGTCTCCAACACTGCATTCCTTCTTTACTAAACATAAAACCATGTTTCCTTTCTTTGTTAACAGGCATTCTAGTAAACATGAAACAAAACAAAACAAAACAAAGGGTATTTTGGCACTTTTGTCCAGAAATATCAGTTTTAATTCTTTAAAATACTGCTATCGGAAACCCATTATGATTCTGTTTACAGGCTCAATTAAAAAATAAAATAAAAAAGAGTTTGAGAAGCAGTCCTTTAGCTTCTTCCCTTTTCTAACCAAAAAGAAGCAGCAGCAAATGTTTGGCACTACTTTAGGTTTGATTAGGTGGAAAAAATGTCTACTATCAAAAATGGATTCCCTATTGGGTGGGGGGAGAAAAAAAACCCACAGTAATTTGCACTACAGACTTACTGAAATAGGCCTGACTGCATCATATTTTGGGCATATCCACTTTCACGCTGGCTGCAGTCTTATGTCTTTGAATTCTGGGAAATTTGCCTTTGTATTGGAGTTGAAATTAAAGAACCATGGAAAGCTCAGGAAGGGGGGAGTATTCCTATTTAGCAGTAGTTTCAAACCAATTTAAATCTGTAGCATAGGCTTCATCATGACAAATCTTCAGCACCTTCACAAAACTACAATTCCTAATGCAAGAAGCCATGATAATGCAAACAGTTTCAAACTGGGTTATTGTTCACTATATACAGTTTGTTGTTTGTCTCTCTCTCTCTCTCTCTCTCTCTCTCTCTCTCTCTCTCTCTCTCTCTCTCTCTCTCTCTCTCACACACACACACACACACACACACACACACACACGAACTAAGGATGCATCTTTGGGTAAGAAGATGCACGGCTATTTTTCTTCCACAAGAGGAACAGGAAGCTATTAGTACCAAAATGTAATTTTGTTATTGGGTGTGGATTGGACAGTTACCATAGAGCTGAAGCATCACTTATTTCTGCACTGTTACGATCAGAAAAGATAAAGTGAAACACTAACTTTTAACTGACACCTTATCACTTGGTAGGTGATGCACTGGAACATATTGCATTTTCATGTATGCACACATATCTATTTAAAAGCAGTCTCTTCCTCTCAGCACATAATGAGGATAAAAGTGGAAAAATGTGGGTTAAAGCAGAGACCAGCCTGAGGGTTCTCTATTCTTGAGCATAGCTGAAGTCATCAGCATTTTGGCCTTGCTGGTAGTTGGCAGGTTTAAGGCGTTAACTAAATACCTTTCCCCGTAGAGGTTTAAAGCATCTCATTTCGCCCTTTCATTTTCTCTAGGGGCAAATCAGCCTCTAGGGATGCTTGGGAGGAGCCTGGAAGCAATTGCAGCTGGTGCACACTGTTATTCATCTCTGGGTGAGGCTGCAATCCTAATGCTATTTTGCTAATTGTTTCTTAGTTGTTATGTAGATAATACATTGGAAGAGGGATAGAGTGAGGGGAGGAACAGATGTGGTAAATTTGCTTCCCTAACTTATGAATTCCAAATACTACCAAACCAAGAAAAAAATCTCCATGGTGTATTTGCCTCTGCTTTTTCACACACACACAAAAAGTTTAGAGCAATGTTCTCTAAGATGATACCAACTTTCATAAAACTATTCTTGAGCATCCCAATGCTCTAGTGCCAAATCTCAATGAAGCATCTTTAAAACTCTCTCTCTCTCATTCACACAAAATCAAAGGAACAGGAGCCTCTCTTCAACTTTTCTTCTTTCTATTCTACAACATTTCTTTGGCATCCTGCTCTGGCCCAGTTTGGAAAGTCAAGAAAAAAGTTACAAGTGCCTGAAATTTTTCTAGAAACTTGACATTATTTAAAAAGGCAAAACCTGCTATGACACCAAAAAGAAAAAAATATATATACACACACGCACGCACACAGGTACCATGCAAAAGATCTATTATTAATGGCAAGATGAGAAGGAACGTGGGAATCCCTGGTTCCTCCAGGATCAGAAGGCTTGGATTTGCTTCTAGTCAAACCTGCTGGTATCCCTTCCTTCTGGGGGTGCCCTTATCCCAGCCACTGGATGTCTCAAGAGATTTTATCTGCACCACATACGTACAATCTCATACAGGAATTTGGCAATTGGGACTGGGGCACTGGTAGGTTTCCAGAGCAGCAGGGATTTTGGCTGTGCATGATGACTCTCTAGGGCAAGTTCAGAAACTAGGCTGGTTTTACCCCCATTGTTTCTCTGCAGAAGAAGGAAGGTGGAGTTTGAAGCACGTGCAACATGCTCTTTTCTACCCACCTTATGTAAACAATGCTCAGGCTTCAAAGCTAGTTTTTTTTTAATGTAACTGAGGCAAAACTAGTTGGCCTTTTGAGATTCCTTTCTATTCCACTTAATGAAATCACAGCTCCCATTATGGTTTGAATGTCAGTGAAATACAGCTCATATTTACAGACAGACAATGTGCGATTCCCTACTTCTTGACCAAGCATCAAAAGTCTCTTCTTCATATAGAAGACTTGCATCTAACACCCCCCTCACACCCAATTCCATTGGAGACCTCCTGCCTACTCTCTTGCTATTAAGATACCTGCCCTTTTAAGACATGCACCGGGATACCAGCCCTTAGGTGAAGCCCATCAGCTTGCTTTGTTTTGTGTATGTGTGTGTGTGTGTGTGTGTGTGTGTGTGTGTGTGTGTTATCGCTGATGACACAATTCCTGTGTTGCTTCTGACATAACCATTAAGATAAGCAGCCCTTCACAATGGAAACAGAGATGGAGAAGACAGAGAAGACAGAAAGAAGAACAGAAAGAAACAGCAATGAAAGGATGCAATGTATCTCCAGGGATCCTTAGCATGACAAGGGACTCATCATGAAATCTACCACTGGTCCAGCAGCCAAATTTTCTCACGGCCAGCGCTGTCACTGCAGATTCTTCCATCTTCTAGATAGTTGAGGTTCTATCAACACCATCTGTAAGAATTTGGACATTGTTAGATAAATCATTGCCCAAAAGGAACAGGAGATGGCTTTCCAATTCAGAAGTAAGGAGGTAATACAAATACAGTAATGCAAAGACCAACCAATCTCAACCTACCATTTTTTGTGAAGCAAGGCACTCATATTTCCACCCCCTTTTCCCCAGGTCCTTCCTCAGATACATCTGGCAATGAGGATCATAGGTAAAAATTCAGCCCACTGAGAAATATCTCCTACCCATCATAAGTCTTTTTGCAATGAAGCAATGCTGGTAGAAGCTGCTCTAAGAGGAGATGGATAAATGGCAGTACTATCCCAATTTTACTTTGGTTTCTCTTGGGAAGACGTTGAGTCAGATGGTCAGGTTAGGTATATATAAATAGATTTTTCAAATTGGGGGTTGGCAGTACTGCCTCCTGAGATGCTACAGTATCCAGGATGCTGCTCAATAGTAACCACAAAAAACTAAATATTTGTACCTGGCCAAGCCCTTGCAAGAATATCTAATCTCATTAGATTTCAGTATTCCCACAGGAAAGCTTGCAAGAGAAGATCATCTTCTAAACTGACATTGTAACTCTAATGATGAGAAGACACATATAACTTTATACAAAATCAAATCATACACTGCCTCAAAAGGGCAATCATTCCTGCGGTAAACTGGCATCACCTTGAAGACTGATTCCAGCAAGGAAGTGAAGTAACAATCATTATAATAAATTGGATTGGATGGGGACTTGAGCAAGAGAAATGGAGACAAAAGTAAAATCCTTTTCTGTCCCAAACCCATTCCTGTTCCAATCTGTTCAGCATTGCAATATTATGGCATTATACATGCCATTATGGGGACAATGCTTCAGCAAATCCAACAGATGGCGATCTATGACTAGTAGCAAAAAACACCAAAGCACATTCATTCATCCATTCATTCATCCGAAGCAACAGCTCTTAACTCCATCAGAATCATTTTGTGGATTCGTCTTTAATAACAAGTAATTGTCAACCTTCTGACACCAACGTATTTCCCTTCTCTTTCCCTTCTTTCTCTTGGTAGCTCCTCAAGAAAAGAATAAAGTACTTTTCACCAGGTCAAACTTATTGCCCAGTTATTCCAATGCATTCAGTATCTTTTAGCTAGAACTGATAGATAATGAACCTGGGATTTTCTACAGGCAGGAGGTAATAATGTGGTTCCCTTCCTATATACTGGAGTGGATAAACAAAGGTTCAATTTATTTATTAAAGTTGTCTTTTTTTAAAAAAATCATTAGTTGCACTGTGTATTTTATTAGGGACCATTTTACACTTAGACAGCTGGTAGCTTTATAACTGTCTCCTTAAAGAACTTTGTGGCTTTCTCTGTTTCAAGATAAATGTGTTCATTCAGCAGTAGGAAATTCTTTTTATATATATATAAATTGTAGTAGTTTTTATAGGGTTAGGAATGAGGTGGGATTGGGATTGGGTTTTGGGTTGGGGTTGGGATTAGGGCTGGGTTTTTTCCAAATAACATTCTCAATATTTAGCAAACAGCATGTCTGGGTTCATGTGTTTAACAAGAAATAATAGATAATAGTTAATTATCATAAACAATATGTTAATTAATCACTCAATAGTCTTCTTACTAATATATATTCAAAGTTACATATCACATTCCTTTCTCTCTAACTGGTGTTTCTAGCCATTGATAGAAATTATCCCATGTTCTAAAATGCACTGAGTGTTCTTTCTCTTTTATATTTAAAGTCAATCTGTCCATTTCTGCACACTCTAAAATTTTCTTAATTAATACTTCTTCAGTTGGTAAATTTTCATTTTTCCAATGTTGGGCAAATACAATTCTTGCTGCAGTTAGTACGTGTAGAATTAAATATATACACTCTTTCTCATAATTTGCTCCTATTATTCCTAACAAAAATAATTCTGGCTTAAAGTCTATTTGTTTTTTAGTCATTTTCTCCAACCATAATTGTATTTTTACCCAAAATCTTTTTGATTTTGGGCATGTCCACCAGATATGATAGTAAGTATCTGGTCTTTGTTTGCATTTCCAACACCTGTTTGAAGTATTTTTAAACATTTTTGTTAATCTCACTGGTGTCATATGCCATCTGTAAAACATTTTATATAAGTTTTCTTTATATGCTACTGCTTTAGGTAATTTCCCATAACTTTTGCCAGTTTTCTAATTCTATATTATATCCGAAGTTCTTTGCCCATATTATCATCGTTTCTTTAACTTGTTCTAGCAGTAGGAAATTCTCTTTGATGGCTTTTCCCTCCCTATCAACTGTATCCAAAGGCTGGTAAACCACAGCTGATTTGGTTCTGATATATAAGGCATCCTTTATAATCCTCAGTGACCAAAGGAACCATATTACTATGTGTCCTAGCGGTGAATCATGCTTATATCTCTCAATATTTTCTACTGTGTACCTTTAAAATGCATCAATAGATCTGGGCTGCAAAAATCTGGACAACTCTTAGATGACAGAGAAGTTAAAAAAGTTTTCTATATGTCTTCAATATTATCTAGTCATTGATAATACTCTTTTTGCAGCTTAGATCTGGTAGCCCTGCATTGGACAATTTCAAAGAGGGGGAAAAATGAAAAGGAGCCACTGTCTATTTAAACTTCCCCTCCTGTCTCCCCCTCCTTCTAACTCACAAACCTGCATAATGTTCTCCATTTAGCACAGAAACGAGACAGAGGAAATACTTCTGAAGACTGCTGGTAAGGCTGTGGCTTGTAAGTTACGTAAGCACATATGGTGGAGAGACACAGCATGTTTTGTTAAGGATGGAGGCAGCTTGTTCATCCTTAGTCCCACAACTATCTTTAATCATCATCCTACTCTGAGGCCAGCTATTACAATTCTCCCTTTTAATGTGGTTAGTCAAACAATCATGTTTATCAGTCTGATATTTAGGTTTCCTTTCTTCTACTGTTTATTCTAATAGAAAAAAAAAAACATCCTATCTTACTTGATGTGAAAAAATAAAATCCAAAACTCCTCAATTCTTTTCTCTCTCTTTGAGATGTTATGTAAAGGACAATCCTTGCTTGATCATTTCAGAATAAAAACAATGTATAGGGAACAGAGTCTTATTATGAAATGTCTCAGCAAGATGTCTTTTAAAAGCAAATGTTTTTTTTTCTTCCTTTTCTACCAATCCAACTGAAGTTCTTTTAGAAACCAGGAAAATCTTGGGACATTTGCACATATAGTGATGAAACAGATTTGCCCTTGTATTATTTTTTATTTATATCCCGCTTTTATTATTTTTACAAGTAACTTAAGGCAGCAAACATATGAAGCACACCCTCCTCCTAGTATTTTCTCCACAACAACAATCCTATAAGGTGAGTTGGCCTGAGAGACAGTGATTTTGTATCATGAATATAAAAACCATCAGCTTTATCTCCTTTCTGTTATACATACACTAAAATTCTGATTCATCTTCTAGTGGTCTCCTGTTTGGATTTCTTCTGCTTTTATTGATTTTAGTAACTGTTGCTTCTAATGAATGTTTCAGGATTGTTTGCAGGATACGGTGCAAACATGAAGATGGTGGCCATGATGGTTTGATAAAAACTCTGCCTGCTTTTATTTATGTGTGAAACATTAAAAAAAGCAGAATTTTGAATGCACTATTAACTTTTATTTAACTTTTTTTGATCACATCCTGTGGATACCCTTGAGTGTTTTTAATATTTGTTTTAACTCTATGTGATTTTACTCTTCTTATAAGGGATGCATTAAGCTCAATGAGTAGATGTTGGAAAATAACAATAATAACCATGATAAATATTAGGATTGTGCATGTCACTTGAAGAGATAATGCATCCCTCTGGAACAAATCTTGAAAGTTTGATCTGGATGCTTCCAGACCCACCTAGGACATAGATAATGGGCAGGTGATAGATGAGGAATCAGACAAAATATGACCTACTGGAAAAGAAAGTGGCAATACATTCTAGTATTTTTTCATAAAAAACAGACATTCCCACCAGGACAAAGCCAACATTATATTGGTAGATGAACCCCCAGGTTGGAAGCAACCTGATGAGCTATTGGGGAAAACTGAAGAACAATTACAAATAGCACTAATGCTTCTAATGTGGTTGGATTAAAGCTGAATTAATGTTCAGCTGCTGATGTGCCTAACAGAAAATGAAAGTCTAAAACTGCAAAGATTACCACTTCAATGGCAAAAATAAGAGAGTTTGCATATATGTAGCATTCAAATATTAAATCCCTATTAGTCAAATAGCAGGAGTCTGAGCTTGGGGCTTCACAGTATCAGAAAGGCTTGATGCAATTTTAATCTGAGCGTAAAAGAGAGAAGAAAAAAATTAACAGTTTTTACCTCCTAGGGCATGTTCAGTCATACTGAGGCACAAGGACTCCAGCCTATTATTGATATCAGGTTCTGTCACTGGGACCTGGAACTCTGCAAAGATAATGAGAGGACTAAATACAGAAGATGAGAACTGCTACTATTATTTGAAAGGTTTTTCCTCTAGCGAAACACAACTTTACGGTATAGCTATTGCAAGGTGTCATTATTATTATTTTAAGAAAAAAAGGACTTTCTCACTTTAGGTTCAACGGAAGTTTTCTCAATTCTTCTAGATAATTTTGAAGCAATCTGAAGATGTACAATAATGTTCCAATTCCTTGCAATACCTATATCTACTGAAGATGCAAATTAAGACAGAAGACAACAATATAATATGGAGAAAGATGCATAACCCGACACAGAAACAGATGGATGAATAAAACATACACTTTCAACATACACCTTAAATGAAGTTAGGAACAAGTTGTGCTTTTGTTCATGGAGTTCACAGAGACTGAGCCAATTTGATGCCACTCTGACTCTTATCTTGCTCACAATACGTGACATCTTACAATGAGATCCTTCTCCAGAATTCATCATTCAAATCTCCTGTTACAAAAAGCTAGAAGCTGGTTGCTCCATAGTCCTGAACTTTTAGCACATTCCCAGGACATGGTAAGTCAAAATGAGGTTTGTTTCATTCTGACTTCATTCTGTGTAACCCCTCCAGCCATTATGGATTCTAAATGATACCATAAGTTGTTTATTTATGTGTAATTTGTTAGCATGCTGCATGACATCTGCAAATCACTATTTCAACTTGATGTGATTTATGAACCCTGCTAAGTGAGACTTAATAAAATAAAGTTGGTTTATTTATGGTAAATAACTCATGATTTAACATAATATTCCCTGTAAATATCTCCCTTTATTTCAACAGAAACAATTAAAGGGGGTAGAACCCAGCAACAACTTTTGGGAATCAAAATTATTTTCCCTAGAACTAATACTTGAAGAGGATTTGTTGCCTGGCAGGTTTTGGCCCTTCCATCAGTGTTTTTTATGGGTATAGCTCTATAAGTAAATAATGTATTTATTTATTCCCATCTCACCTAGAGGCAAATCTAGGTGGCTTGCAACCAAATAAATTGATAAAAACATTAAACATGATAAAACATTAAAATATAAATATTAACAAACTAATACAGTGCCAGAATCTGTACATGTAGTCCTTGACTTACAACCATTTGTTTAGTGACTGTCTGAAGTTACAATGGCACTGAAAAAAAATGACTTATGACCATTTTCACACTTACAACTGATGCAGGAAGTCCCAGGGTCACGGGATAAAAATTGAGAGGCCTGGTAACTGGCATGCCTTTATGATGGCTGCAGAGTCGTGTGTGTGTGTGTGTGTGTGTGTGTGTGTGTGTGTGTGTGTGTGTGTGATGTGATTACCTTTTGTGACCTTTTGACCAGCAAAGTCAATGGGAAATCCAGATTCAGTTAGCAATCAAGTAACAGTTACTTAACCATTGCAGTGATTCATTTAACAACTGTGGCAAGAAAGGTCATAAAATGAGGCAAAACTCGCTTAACAACTGCTTTGCTTAGCAATGGAGATTTTGGGCTCAATTGGTGGTCATAAGTAGAGGAGTAACCCGCACTGCAATTTCTAAGGTTTCTTTTCCCATGAATTAGGCTTCTGTTTTTCTATCTTATTTTCAAGATGCTTGAGAATTTCTTTTGAATTTCTCCAAAGGGTGCTTTACTGGGTTCTTGGAAGGGACAGTAATGTTATTGTTGGCGTTATTTTCTGTTATCCCTCTTCCTATCGTTTTAAGGTCTCCCTCACTGCCCACATTTCCCAAACTGAAAAAGCTCCATGGAAGAAGCTGCCTCATGAAGTTTTCCTAGAGGATTTAAAGGAAAAGTAGGAAGTCAGTGGGATGGCTCCTATCTGATGGCCATCCCGTAACTAGGTTCAAGAACACTGTAGTTCACTCAGAGAATTTCATCAAAATGCTCAATTTGTATGCAATAAATTCAAGAAATTTTGCTTCATCAAAGTAAATAGGAACTGATTAAAAAAACCCTCAAGATAATTTTCCTGCATGATCCGCTATACGAATCATGACCAATGACTATTAGTCCAGAGTTCAATGGTGGTTTGTTTTCCAGTTCAAGGGAAAATTACTAATTTCTAATTCAATTTGACACAAAATGTGGGGTGGGGGAGAGTTCACCTCTTGCCAAATAATTACTTTTAAAGATCTTCCCAAAGGAATTGTTAACATGCCCATCACTCTTTCAGGGGGGACATAAGAGGGTGACGGAGCTCTGAGAAAGAAGAAAACTGATCAGACTTACCATGTTGCTGAAACATAAGCATTGTCTGAGGAGAGGTGTGGACAGGCAGTGAACGGGTCCTCTGTACAGAACTATGGCTTCGGCTGGGCATACTGTTACTTCCTCCTGGATTTGCAAACCAAAGATTCTATGGAGAGACAACAGAACATGAGTTGTTAAAAGAAGGCAAGTCATAAATGCAGAAAGGCAAAGGTCCCTAGCAACATTACAATCCCTAGAACAAGGGTAGGCAACCTTGGCTCTTTTATGACTCGTGGACTTCAACTCCCAGAATTCCTGAGCCAGCATAGCTTGAAGTCCACGAGTCATAAAAGAGCCAAGGTTGCCTACCCCTGCTCTAGAATTATACCAGAAGGCTAATTTGCTGGTGTGTCAGATTTCATCAGAAAAGGGACAATTGCCCCAATTTTGGAAAGGGAGCAGCAAAACATTTCATTTCAGGACCTCTTCCTGCTTCAATTGCATTTGTCCATACAGGTAGTCCTTAAATTACAACCATTCATTTATGACTGTTTGAAATTACAACAGGACTGAAAAAAGTAATTTACAACCGGACCTCACATTTATGACTGTTGCAGCATCCCTCATAGTAACATGATCAAAATCTGGACACTTGACCACTGGCATATGTTTATGATGGATGCAGCCTGTGATCACCTTTTGCAATCTTCCCAGCCAGTTTCCAACAAGCAAAATCAATGGTCACTTAATGACCACCGGATTCACTCAACAACTGCAGTGATTCATTTAGCAACCAGGACAACAATGTTATAAAGTTGGGCATGACTCATCAAGAACTGCCTTGCTTAGCAATGGAAATTCTGGTCCCAATTGTGGTCACTAATCAAGGACTACCTACGATTGATTTGATTACATCTGCTTATGAACAATTTCAATGATATTTGGTTGGACCCAACTGAAGGACCACGAATGCTGCTGCTGCCATCGGCCATTGACTTCATTCTCTAGTAAAGACATCTCTTTCACATTTGAGCCTGGGACGAAAATAGACAGAGGAAATTGAGGCCCTGGATCACCTCCACTCCCTCCCTCCTTACATTATCTTTGACTGTTTTCCCAGACCGTGACTTAAGATGGTTGGAGCCCCTTGTTGGATGCGTTTTTGTCTATGTTTTTGCATAAAGCAAACTGGATCCCATCTTGTTTAGTACCGTATTGTGATTTTATGGTTGATTATATTGTAAGTTGCCATGGTTGATTTAACAGTCAGGTGGCAGCTAAACTGAATTAAATAATACATCAACTGATCATATTCAGGTTTAGCATATTGAGTGCGATGGACTGGCTTCTTTTGAGTGTATGAATGCTATCCACACAATGGATCCAATGGATTCTTTTGAATATGTGTGAATGCTATCCACACTATGGATCCAAAGCTTTCTTTGAGTATGTGTAGATGCTAAATCACACTATGACACAGTAACCCTATAGGAATGAATTTGAGTAAACCTTTAGCTCCACAATTGCTTGTATTTCTTCTGTACAACTTCAGTTTAACCTACCAAATGCTGCATTTGTTTTTGAACAGATCAGACTAAGACCATCAATCCCTACAATGGCCAGTCTCTCCTGCACTGAAAGCATTTTATTTTTCCTCCCTCAGCAATCCTCATCCCCTTTACAGGACCTCTTTACAGCACTAAAGACAGTGAAAACAGGAAATGCCTGCAGACTATTTTGGCCAGCACAATCTCTTTCATTTTTCATTTTTAAACTGAAAATTCAGTATAAGAGTGTTCAGTTTAGTCCCAGAAGGAAACTGGAAAGAGAGTAACAAAGGAACTTTAGGTGAGTGATACTTTTTCTTTTCCATAAAAGAAAAAAATATACATACTCTGAATCATACACATGTAGAGGTTGCCTTGTGATTTTAGACCAGCTTTTCCTCAAATGGACAAATGCACGTGCAGGGATTACAGTATAATTCCCAAGACTACTGCACAGATCCTTGGAATTCTGGCAGTTAAAAATCCCTTTTTTTGGAGAGTGCCATCTTTGGAAAGACAGCTTTAGTTTAAAGACTATCAGTTTTCAACAACTGCCTGCCAGATGCTCCCAAAAAACAGTATCATGGCAATGAAATGGATGTACGTTTCTTTCAGCATTGACATTTGCAAGATGTCTCCAATATCTCAGGATTGCCACAAAGAAGAGGGAGTCAAGCTATTCTTCAAAGCACCTGAAGGCAGGACAAGAAGCAATGGATGGAAACTAACCAAGGAGAGAAGCAACCTAGAACTAAAGAGAAATTTCCTGACAGTTAGAACAATTAACCAGTGGAACAACCTGCCTCCAGAAGTTGTGAATGCTCCAACACTGGAAATTTTTAAGAAGAGACTGGACAGCCATTTGTCTGAAATAGTATAGGGTTTCCTGCCTGAGCAGGGGGGGTTGGACTAGATGACCTCCAAGGTCCCTTCCAACTTTATTATATATATATACACACACACACAGAGACATGCATACATACATACACACACACACACATACATACATACATACACACAAATAGTTCTCAACTTATGGCTGCAACTAGAACCAGAATTTCCATTGCTAAGTAAGGTGTGCCCAATTCTATGGCATTTTTCCCACAAATGTTAAGCAAATCAATGCAGTGATAAGTAAATCACATAGTTGTAAAGAGAACCCAGTTTTCCCCATTGACCCAAAGGTGCTTTTCCAAAAGGCAACTGGACTTCCTTATTTTTTTCCTTGAAAACATTTTGCTTCTCATCTAAGAAGCTTCTTCAGTTCTGAATTGAACTGAAGAAGCTTCTTGGATGAGAAGTGAAATGCTTTCAAGGAAAAAAAAAAACCAAGGAAGTCCACTTGCCTTTTGGAAAAGCATCTTTGGGACAACCACGACCTTGGTGATTGAGAATCTCCATAGACACTTTCCCCATTGACTTTGCCAGCTGGGAAAGTGGTAAATGGCAATCACATGAACCCAGGATGCTGCAACCATTGTAAATACATTCCAGTTGCCAAGAACCCAGATTCTGATCATGTGACCATTGGGGATGTTGCAATGGTCTTAAGTGCAAGGTCATAAATCACTTTTTTATGCCACTGTAACTTCAAACAGTCAGTAAATGAATGGTTGCAAGTTGAAGATTACCTGTACTACATTTTGAACTGAATGTTTATAAAACAGGCAGTTTGTTTAGTTAACATGGCAGGATGCCTCTTTGCAGAGTTAACTGGCACAGATCTGTAAAAATCCTTTCTGAAGTTATCGATATTAGTGATTATCTCTACACCTCGTGGCAGCAACGCTTGTTAAATTAATTCCACATGATGTTTATTTAGATAATGCTTCTGTTCAGTAACAGAAAATCCCAAGAGGGCCAGTGACAACATTGGATGAATCTGTACTGAGGTTTTCACTGAGGGGCGATCCAGCCACCTCACTTCTGAAGTAGTTCTCTCTAGTTTGCACTAACCTTTTCTGTCTCATTTTATCACAGGCCCTGTGGCTTTGAGCAATCACCCACAAGTTGATGGATACCCACCTGTCTTCCTTGCTTTAAGAGAGTGGGGTTGGCAGCTCCATTGCGCTGGCTGGCTCCTAGGAGGCCACTGGGACCCAAAAGCCCCAGCCGTGTAGTGGGGAGATTTCGAGAGGGAATTTGGAATTGGCGTGGGTTTCTCCTGCCCATTCCTGCACCTGCAGATCCAGCTGTCGGTAAGGAGTTTGACTGGCCAAAACCTCGGCTGAGAAAAAAAGATCAGACAAATCAAAGTCCATGCAATTCACCTCCTGTATTATAAACTCCAAACAGACACCTCAGTCATGATAAATATACAAACTTGGCTAAAGTGCCCTAATCTCCCTCTTTCTGAGGGAGCCTTGAAGCTAAAGCTCTTGCACGTTGTCTATGGACATGGCAAACCTACTTTAAAATGCTGTAATTAAATAATGCTTCACAGAATTACAGAACTGTTTTAGAGATTTGCACTGAAATGACCAAAATAAATAAATCACTGCAAATAATTTAATTTGAACTAAAGCGACATTCCTGTTGAGAATCTGGAACTTAATAATTTTGTATGTGTGATTTCTTCCTACCCTGTCACCTGATCACAAATCACTCAACCCACTACAGTTTCCAGGCACAGTGGAAGTGTAAAAGTTGCTAGGCTGGATTAGGCTTGTTCCTGGGCAACTGTGAACCTTGATTTTTTTTTTTCTCCTAGATCCAATGGGTGTGCCTCCCACCCACTGGACCTCTAGGCCTAGCCCCACAGCATTAACACAGCCAACCCTCTATAGCATTGGCACTCCCAGGAGTTGAGTCTGCAGGACGAAGCCCCAATCTTACGTTCTTTGCTGCCGGTATCCCGAGAGGTCTAAGATGGATTTGCGAGGGAAAGACCTGAACAGTTTTTGCACCTGCTGTTTCCATGACAACAGTCTTTTCTTCTGTGTCTCGGTGAATGCCTGCCCAAGAGAGGGAGTTATGGGAGGGTGGAGGGAAGGGAAAAGGGGGTAAACATTCAAAATAGAATAATGATTAGAAGAAAAAGTCACAGGTGATTTTCACCATCATCATTAGGATGACTGGCTTATTAGTAAAAATATTTCACTAGTGAGAACACAATACCTTGTTAGAGGCAACTACTGTACTCAAACAGCACGTTCTACACTCAAGAGTCTGAATCTATATTTTTAAGTATAACTAATTATGCTTTGTAGAAAGACAAACTGAGCCACAGACATTTCTGCATTTTAGCATCACGGAGATGAATCCCCACAGGCTGATGCTGTGAATTTGGCTAATTTTGCGATCCTCGTTGTCATTCTATGGAGGGGCTGTGAAATAGCCTCTCCCCAAGTTCCAAACGCCATTACTGCTCTTTCCAAGTGCAAGTTGCCAAGCACCATTTCATGTGGCTTCCCTAGCAGCAAACATTTCAGGCTTCTCATGGGATCAACATTTCAGAAACACTGGTCTCATGTCAGCCATAATGTTACTTGTCTCTATTTGGCTTAGCATGATTAAAAAGTTGGAAGGCACACTCTAGCCTAGACCAGGGTTGGCCCCTACTCAGCGAAGGAATCCAGATTTAAGTATTCCTAAAAGATGGCTGTCTAGTCCCAGCTTGATATGATACTGGGGTTGAGCATCTTTTCTCTGGGAACTAGCTCACTACTAACATCTTATTGTTAACCAATTAACAATAAGATATTAGTGATGAACCAATTCCCAGAGAGATAATGGAATGTGCCATCAAATCAGTGTCAACCCTTAACAACCACACAAATTGATCTGTCCCAAGTTGACCCACCACGCTTTCCAACAGTGCACCCACTGCCACTGTGGTCAAGTCCATTCCATTGGAACTGGTTGTCTTCTTCTTTTTCCTTTCATTTTTCCTGGCATTACAAATTTCTCAAAAGAGCCAAGTCTTCACAAAATGGATCCAATAATATAATAACTTGAACCTGTTCATTTTGCCTCAAGCAAATACTCAAGATTGATTTGCTTATGACCCCTCTGTTTTCTAAGCTAACCATGGTATTCTCAGAAGTCTTTTTATAATACCAACATTCAAAAGCATTAATACTCTTTCTATCTTGTTTCTTTAAAGTCTAAATTTAGAGCAGAATTCCCCAACCTTTCAGAGTTGGTGGCCCAGAGCGGGAGGTTTTGTGTGTGTGTGTGTGTGGGGGTGTAAACACAAGTGTGTGCGTAGGGTTGTGCATGCATGCACAGTCACGTGCACCGGCCAGCCATTCATGTGGTTTGGTGGACAATAGGCCATGGCCAGCAATGGGTTGTGATCTACAGGTTGGGGATCCCTGCTTAGAGGACAATTAGAAATTTTGGGATTCCCATTTTTCTAAGGAGATTTCACAGGTTGACATGGTCAACGCAACCAAAGGCTTTTCTATTACATTTTCTATTTTATTCTCTGGTTTTCTCATTTACCAAGTATGCATATTTTTCATATTCCTTTGTATTTTCTAAAACCAGTTTGAACATCTGGCATCTCACTTTCCATGAAGGATACCAATCTATGTTACATATCTCTATGCATTATTTTGTTAGCATGTGAAATTAAGGACATTTATAGAATAGTTTGCACATACTGTTAAATCTCCTGGGGTACCTTTTCTAATCTATTGGCCATTGTGTTATTGTTCAGATCTGCTAATACGGTTTGGTTAGAATCCTTCTTCTGTTGCTTGTCATATCTTTAGAAATATTTTATTAATTTCTGTAGCCTTCTGACTTGGTAATGACCAAGGTGCTGATTTAATTTCATCTTACTGTACTAGAAATTCTTGTAAATAGGGATGATATTTTAAGGACTCTTGGATGTTGATATCTCTCTTGTACAGAATTTTAGCATACTCCTTCCAACTTTGTTTGATCTTCTTGAAATCAGTTGCTATTTGTCCATTGGTGTTTTTTTAGCAAATCAATGCAAAGTTGGAATTTCTTTCTAAATTTGGGGATCTTTTGGATCTTATTTGTCTGTATCTGTTTTCATTTTTGATGTCTTTCCAGATTTCACTGTAATACTGTTTCTTGTCTTTTTAATAGCTCTCTGAAATTCTTTTCAAAGTTCCTTCCTACAATTTTTGTCTTTCTTGGCTCTGGCTTCGCTTCTTGGCAATTTCCACTGTTTGTTCTAATATCCAGCTTGCTTTCGTCTGTTTCTTGGTCTTTGGCATTTTCTGTTCAAATTTATCTTTAACAACATCTTTGATTTTATACCAGTTTCTCTGATTCCCTATAAATCAGTGGTTCTCAATCTTTCTAATGCCGCGACCCCATAATACAGTTCCCCATGTTGTGGTGACCCCCAACTACTTATACATCATGGGGCGCCAGGGGCGTGGCCAAAGAAAAAGAGGAAAAAATGGCGGACAGCCTTGTTTGGCGACCCCCGTGAAATGGTCGTTCGACCCCAAATGGGGTCCCGACCCACAGGTTGAGAACCACTGCTATAAATGGTTCAAGACTTTAAAGCAATTCCCAATGTTCTCTTTGAAAATTGTGGGTATATGCTCAAGATATATCCTGGAAACTGACTGACTTTCTGTTTTAGCTTGAATTGGAACTTGCATGAGGAATTCATGATCTGTTGCTATTATAAGTGATCTTTTCCACTTACTTGTATCAATCATATAAACAATTTAATTTCTGTATATTCCATGTATTGCCCACGTCCATGTCTAGGTTCTTTGAAGACTGGATTAGAAATCAGGAAATAATTGGATTGGCAGAAACCACTATATCATTTCTGTATCAATTATATATTTTTTCCTTTCTACTTCCAACTTTGGCACTGCACTCTTCAACCATAAGCAGCACCTCTTGTTTGCACGTTCAGTCCATTTCAGATTGAATGTTCCTATTATTAAAAAAAATCTTGTTCCTAACGATCAACTGGAATCTGCCTTCTTGCAACTTATCATTATTGCATCTCTTGCATTTTGGAACAACAGACAACAAACCTTTGCCTTCTACTACTTCTTCTGTAATTTCAGTTACTTGAAGTGTGCTATCATCTCTCTTAGCCAATCTTCCCTTCTGGAAGCTAAACGTCTCCTGCCCCTCCAATCTATCTTCATAGGATTTAAAATTAATTATTTTGATTATCTTTGTTGAACTTCTTTACTTCTGAATCTTTTTTAGGTTTAATTAAGAAATTGTGGTTAATAAATCATAGCTTTATTTGCTTTCCTCACTAGGGCCCAGAAAGGGTCAGGTGGAATAAATATTATTACACTATCATAAAAAGAATCCCAAAGGTGCTTTTTCATAAGGCAACTGGATTTCTTTTTTCTCTTTGAAGACATTTCACTTCTCATCCAAGAAGCTTCTTCTGCTCTGACTGGATGGTGGGGAATGGAAGGATTTATACTCCTTGCAGACAGCTAGTCATTTGCATTCTTTTAGAGAGTCATTGATGCCACCTGGAGGCTTAACTGTGTCATCAGGGTCACCTGAGTAGTGCAAATGGGTGTGGAGCCTTCTTAGAACTGTTGAAAGGACTGTGTTGTAAACTGGAGATAGATGATGTCCTATCCCTCCCTCTATGTTGAGAGAGGGCTGTTCAATTTTGACATAAATTCACCACCATCCAGTCAAAGCTGAAGAAGCTTCTTGGATGAGAAGTGAAACATCTTCAAAGAGAAAAAAGAAAGTTCAGTTGCCTCGTGAAAAAAGCACTTTTGGGACAGCCATGACCTGGATGGCTAAAAATATCAATAGACATATTGTAAAATGACAGATTTGGTCAGACTGCACCAGACTGGCAAACATTTGTAGGGAGAATGAAAGTAGCACTTCATGAGAGATTGGACTGAAACAAATGAGTTCTCTTAATAGTCAGCTTCAGCTATATTTAAACTGTAAGCCTGGGCAAAAAGAGAGCAAAAAACCCAATATAAACCATTTGCTTTGAGGTGAGGTGATGATAGGCGGCTAAGATTGACCAGAAATTGCAGCATAGAGGGAGATCCAAGTGTGACCACAGACAAAGAACATGGCAACAACCTTTGACTTATGCAAGATCATTATTCACTGAGGGGAATAAACTCCAAAGTATTTAGAACCATATAAGGAAAATGTTTGCCAATTGTAATTGCAAATTAATAGCAATTATACTCAGAGGTGTTTCTTTCATTAGTCTGTTTATTGTAAAGCAAAAGCTTTCTAACATCATTTTATTAACAGAGAAGCAAAGAACCAGAAAGGATCCTTAGAAATCATATACTCCATTTCCCCACAATTATGACTGCCTTATTTAATACTGTATTTATAATAACTGGCAATGGATTTTCATTGATTTGTATTAAGAGTCTTCCCAATATTACCTGGCAGGGCACAAACTGATTTTAGAGCAGAGAAACTATCACTAAGCCACATCCATGCCATATTCATCCTCAAATGGTCATATTTGCATATCTAGGAAATACAGCAAATCTCTTTAAGAAATGGAGAGAGAACAAAAGTTTACAAATCTCCCTCCATTTCTATGGCCCCCTAAAATTACTCACCTCATGAATTAGGCATTTGTCTATGAGTTGTAGATAGGAGCTTATATTCTCCTCGTCAGGCCTGGAGACAAGGAGCTGAGTACAAACTGCAAAATAACAACATCATCATTAACAACATAACTTTGAATTTAATAAGAAGAATGGACTCAATCCACCCTCAATGGGACACTGATGCCTTTTTCAGTTTTGTTCCATCCTTTGCTTTCTGTTACTGTGGTATCAACCTGGTATTCCATGTAGATCTATTTATAAAAAGGAAGCTGCTGGGTCTCCTGCTTCTCCAGTTCCAGTATGAAAAATACAATCAAATGCATTTTTATAATATTTTATTGTTATTATCATTTTACATTAGTATTACAATAAAAAAGTATAAGTAAAATAAAAAATATAATAAAAATATGCTGCTTCACACTGAATCATATTGGATTCACAGAGAGCAAACTTTGATATCTGGATTAATCCACCACAATACAGTACCCTTGAGATGAGTTATTTATTTTTTTATATCCTGCCTTTATTATTTTTATAAGTAACTGAAGGTGGTGAACATGTTTAAAGTTCCTTAGCTTATTATTCCAGAACAACAACCCTGTGACTGGACTGAGGGAAAGTGACTGGCTCATGATCACCCAGTCAGGCGAGACTAGAACTCTGGCTCATGATCACCTAAGGTGAGACTAGAACTCAGTGAATCCTGGTTTCTAGCCTGGTATTTTAACCACTAGACTAAACATCTACAAGTTCAAACATTCCCAGTCAGCAAAGCAATTGAGCAAACTGACCAGGAATGAAAGAAGATGTAATTCAGCACATCTTGAGGGCTCAGTTGCTCCAAGGTCTTAAAAGTCCAATATTTGTCAACTATAGGTATTAAAGTCTGATTGTCAAAGACGTTGCACTTAAGTGTCTCTACTACAGTCCTGGCATTCCTAAGGATGATGCACTTCATGGTCTCAATTAGATCAGCTTTCTTCCTCCAGACTCCACCCAGCATTTGTTATGTCAGTAAGTCATTGCATATGTAGCCAAAACAATTTTTGTGGAGATTTCAGTTTATTCAGCATTTTTTAATCTTTTGAGTGTATTGACCTATTATTTCTAATGGAACGTCATGGCTATCTGAAATTTATATTTGGGAATGGCTATCCAAATGCATTGGTTGGACCATATTTTGAATTTTATGCTTGGTTTTGGGCAATACACTTAAAAGAATAACAAAAGCCAGAAAAAAATCAATTATCAGGATGACAGAATCCAAACCTTGTGAGGAATTGTCAAAGAAGCTAGGTAATTTAGCTTACAGAGCTTTACAAATATCTAAAAAGCTGTCAAAAGGGCAGATTTGTTCTTTGTTGAAACCAAGGAAGCAAACAACCCAAGGATGATGAGTTAAATCAAAAGAAATAAGATTCAGGCTGAATAGTGAGAGGTAAATTCCTCACCATGAGCTGTAAAGCAGCAGAGAACAGTCTGCCGAGAGCAGAGCTTCCGAACCTCAGCAACTTTAAGGTACATGGACTTCAATTCTCAGAATTCCACTGGCAGCATGGATTGAGAAAATCTGAAAGTTGAAGCCCATATATCTTGAAGTTATTAAGGTTCAGAAACACTAATGGACTCCCCCTCGCTGCACATCTTCAAAAATGTGACTGAATGGCTGAATGGCCACCTGTCACAGATGGTTTAATAGATCCATACAATGCAATGGACAGCACAGAATAACCTTAAGTTGAAAGACTGTTCCAACTCAACGTATTCTATAATTCTATGGAAAATTCTGCTATCTGAGAAACTGATTCTGGATCTGTTTATATGCCAAACATACATTCTACAAGCCACTTATATTTTGAATTCGAACAACTCCAAACACAGCTGAATTTGGAGTATTTTAGTTGCAAATGTCCTGGACTGATGGTTTGTGCCTTATTAAATGCTGTTGTTGCTGCAACTATGGAAGGAGGCAAAATCAACGTGTGAGATCTTTACTACAGTTTGATTGGTAGGGAATATAAATCACAGCAAATGTATACAGCAATTGCATTTTGGATAAATGGGGACAGAAGGAGAAACAGAACCAGGAAGAAAAGGAGAAGAGAAAGTGAAAGAATGTTCATATACAGGTAGCCCTTGACTTATGACCACAACTGAGCCCAGGATTTATGTTGCTAAGTGAGAAATTTGTTAAGTGAGTTTTACGATTTTTCTTGCCACATTTGTTAAGTGAATCACTGCAGTTGTTAAATTAGTAACACAGCTGTTAGGTGAATCTGGTTTCCCCATTGACTTTGCTTGTCAGAAGGTCACAAAAAATGATCACATGACCCTGGAACACTGCAACTGTCATAAATATGAACCAGTTGTCAAACATCCGAATGTAAATCAGATGACCATGGGGATGCTGCAACAATCATAAGTGTGAAAAATAGTCAAAAGTCACTATTTTCAATGTCGTTGTAACTTCAAACCATTACTAAATGAACTGTTGTAAATCAAGGACTTCCTGTACAGCAGATAAAGCAGAGTGAAGGTACAATAATATGCAAAACAAAATACAAAAATGAAAACTGAATCCTATATTTAAACCTATGATATTAAAGTTATTACATGGATCTGAGAAGGAGAATTTCTTAATATCTAATTCTATTAGATCATGTTTTTCCCAGTGAAGGATTATTGTTACTTTAGTATGGAGAGTACCGCATTCCAAATAATAATTGACAGAAGAAGCCCTCACAAAAGCTGTAATTAATTTACAATAAACTTAAATCAAGTTGAATGGGTCACAACAGATGGCAGCTGATCTTGAATGATACTGCAAAAGATGAGCAATATGAACTCCTTTATTCTTAGACAGGAGCACACCAGGATATCCCCAGGGTAAATAGGCAATTAAAAAAAAAATCTCAGAAAAGGCAGTAGAAAACCAGTTCTGGATTACATGTGAAGAGGTTCTCAAACATTGTGGTAAAATCAGGCATATGGGGGATCAGAAGGGAGCCAAATGCTGTCTGTACCCCCACTTTTGATCTTGTAGATCAGACCTGGGCATTTCAAAGCCTATGGGCCCGTGGGTGGTTCCAGTCCAGCCTGTGGCATTGGCAGTGGGAATGGGGTGGAGGGGGCAGGATGTCAGAGCAGCATCGGGGGGGGGGGGTATTGGGAGCAGGTAGCATCGAGAGGCTCAAAGCACCCCTGCAGAACAGTCCCATGCGGCCTCTTGGGAAAATGAATCACCCACCCTTGTTCTAGGCCTTGCCATAATGGATGGCTCTGGGCTGTCTGGTTGCACAGGATTCCTGAAAAACAGGTTGAGCCCTTCTGCATTAGTTCCTCATCGCCCAGTTCTCTGTATCAGTGCTAAGACCAGTATGATTGTGGAGCCACCTTTTTGGTTTCGCTCTGTTCCAATTCTTCACACTTTGCTCTTCCAGTCAACTGGAATTTTCTTTTAATAAGTTGTTCATTAGAGGTAAGCCATCCAGAGTCATTTGGATCAGGCAGCCTATACATTAATTAGTTAACTTAATAAGGAGTCCCTGGACTATTCCTGGCTAACGAATGATAATTTGTACCAGGCACAACTGGACCGTGAATAAAAAGCAAACATGCTGCTCACCTTTTCCCATCACTTTAGTAAACTGTCCTGGGATGTCCCCTTCTGGCAAAGGGACACCTCCAGATTCCCCCTCACAACCGGGTAAGGTATGATGCTGCATTCCTCCTGAGGCAGAGTCCTTGCAATCCAACCCTGGGTTGTCTGAGCCAATCAGAGAAGTTGGTCGACGGAGCTGAGGATCCCGACTGTGCTCATCCACTGACAGGTTCCGAGATGCGTAGGCTTTGATTGGGGTAAGGATCATTTGGTGAAGCTCCTGCAATGGGAGGCGTAGATTGCCTCCTTCTAGGATATCCTGCAGATAGCAATACAGACCCACCCATGAGCATCTCAAATCCTGAAGCGTATCATCATGTCATTGTTTTGAACCAAGCATGAGTGTCAATGAAATATCAATAGAACTTGCGTAAGATAAATCAGAAAGACGACCCAAAGAAGAAACTTAATGAATGTTTAGCACCTGACAAGTCAGCATGATATAAGACACTAAAAATGTTGATTTAGCTTTGGTTCATACATTGCAACCAACCATGACTTGCTTAATCATGGTTCGTAAAATAAATCAAAACTGGTTTGATTCAATGCTAAACTCTAAGTAACTGTTCATAAATAACGATTACTGAGTTTACACACTTATCTCAGTCAAAACTGTAACAAACATATGATCTTAATTCTGGGAAATCTAGGTTCAAATCCTTGCTCTTCCATATTGTTTATTATTTTTTAGCCAAATCTAGAATAAATTGATGTGAGGATTGATGAAAATCAATGTAAATTAATTCACTAACAATAGATGGCTGTCTAGCTTCTGCTTGAGCACATCTAGTGAAAAGGAGCTCGCTGTCTCCATTAATAATTTGCATGTGGCTCTTACTCTTACTTAGAAGATTTTCCCAAGGTTTAATTAGAAATAATTTTGACATATTTATATACTGAATTGCAATCTAGAAATTAGCAGTGATTTTTGTTAGGAAGGTTGAAGATAATGGGACTTATCAATTTCGTACAGTTATAGTTCCCAGCCTTTATTGGGAGGAACCATGACATTGGACCTCCAGTAAGAGTATAAGATCAAAGGTCTATCTACATTAACATCCTGTTTCCAACACGGACAGCTTCCATGTAAACAGGTGATAAATTTTTCCTGTTTTCTGTTTCTGTATTCAAAGCTTACTGCTTGGATATGAAAATTCATTTTAGTATCAAAGTTAACAAAATAAAATTATTTAATTTAATAATATGAAGCCTATCTCTTGAAAGAAACAAAAATACTTACAAAAAGCCTTTGTTATAACTACCTTTCTTTTTACACAATTTTAGCAAGCAAACCTCTGTTTCTTACCAACAGCTCTAAACACTTCTGTAACGTCCAATATTGCACAGTTCCATTTATTCTTCACTGTTTTTCATGGGTCACGAGATGTGAATATTCAACTGGAGCCACAATGCTTACTTATAAAGTGACTAAACAGTGTGACATCTACTGGGGTTTATATCAGAAATAGGAACACGATTTCAGTGGTGCAAAGTGGTACCCCTGCTGCATCCACACAGTATGTCAAAAGCCTGGAAGATATTGTGTGAAAAAGCTGACGCTACACGAGATCTGATGCAAAACCGCTTTTAAAAAAATCTCTTTGAGATGTTGTAGAAACACTAGCAAGATTGTGAACATGTCACACAATATTATGTGTTTCTGATAATCCCATAAAAGATATGATGAGGTTTTGATGATTCTCTATGAGAACTCATGCGAGTGCCACTGTTAGCTTTTAGATGAAAATACACATTTTGAGAATAAGATTATGGAGTTTCAAAAGAAGAGAGAGAGAAAAAGAAAGCTACCCACGAGTACATTGCTCATGAATACAGACAGAGTGGGTTGGACAACATGAGAAGGTATAATGGCAAGCAAGTTCTAGTCCTTTCCTAATTGGGTGCTTGCATGTTGGAACAAAGTAAAGCCACTATATTGATTTTTCTGTTAGCTTAGTTATAGGGCTTATATATCCCTCCAGTCAAAGCTGAACCTAAACAACTTGTTCACCTTGTTCACACAAATAAAGTTAAACTCTATAGTTTAAAATACCAATACAATATAATACAAACACAATCCCTGAGAGAAATGGAACTCCACTTTGATTAATCTTCAGAATACAAGGAGCAGCTCTTAACATTCCCACCCCCACCCCCACAGCCTGTTGAAAAAAATGATTTCTGCACAGCCAGAATTCAAGCAGGCACAAAAATCAAAATCCTTCAGCAGAGAGCTCTTTTAACCAGACCCCAGAGACTAGAGGATAGATGCTACTCGCCTGGGCAGGTAGCATTAGCTTGTAAAACCTTCCCAGTGACTTTCTAAGGAAGTCAGCAGAAAAGACTTCCAAGATCCCTTCCAACATCATCATCATCATCATCATCATTGCATATAATGATAACATGATCACAGGGCTCTGGGCAAGTGATCGTTAAGTGTGAACAGGTTGCCAACACCAAGATTGTGATTACATGATGGCAGGAGGGTTGTGTAACATTTTGCAACTGTCAGAAGTGCTTTACAGGCTATCATTAATTCCGAGGCTGTTCTTAAGATGAACTGCCATTAAATGAATTGTCATAAATTAAGGATTACCTGTAGTAGTTATTAACTACTCCTACGTTAACACTGAGGAGCATTCTTTCAGTGATGCCTATTTAGCATTAAACTCCACCTCTACTTAGATTTTTCTGAAAATTAATTTTTAAAAAATTGACCATGCTATTATCTTCATACAACATGCTTAACCTGGTAAAGATCTAACAACTGCAAGCATACAGGCCAGTAATCTTGCTTCATAACCTTGGTTGACTCGTCTGTGGTTTGGGTATTGCACGGATCCCCACAAATGGATCACTCTGGAATGACATCTCCTTCATGAGTTGTGCAGCTTCAACCCTAGTGAATCTCATAGACCTTGCTCTTGCTGGGTTGTTTGCTGTTAATCGTTGTGAACTTTCCCTCCTGGCCATTTTTTGTTTTAATTCAATATATTGATGGTTTAACCCTTTGTAAGCCATGCTGAGTCATGTGTGAATAGCCACAGAAATACTGAATGAATGGATCAATGAATGAATCAATGAACAAAGAAGGTAGAGTAGGTAGGTAGGTAAGTAGGTAGTGGGTGAATGGGTGGAAGGGAAGGGAGGAGGGAAAGAGGAAAGGAGGGAAGGAAGGAAGATTAGAACTCCTAACCAAAAGTCAGTTGTGGGAAAGGAAGTGATTATGTTATACGTAGCAATTGATCCGCACAGAGGTAGACATATGGGCAAAGAGGTTGAGAGCATTAATTATCAATACATTTAGCTGAAGTAATAGTCAAACTCTTATTTGTTTTGAAAGAAAAAATGGAGAGCACTCACTCTTTCCAAGGATTTGAGGAGATTCTGCCTCTCTTTTAGCTTTTGGATACTGATCACAATCTTATGCCTTGCACCTTTGGTAACGTTCTGCAACAGAGACGTGGAACAACAATATTAGTACACAAATACAGGGTATCACACATGAGGAAGCACAGTTGATCACTCCAGACTAAAGCAACCAATATGGTGAGGTTCCACTAGGTCTTAGCCAATTAATTATTTAGATTAACATGGAGCTAGCATTATAACATTGGTGGATGCTAAATGTATAGATGTGTCAAAACTAGTAAAAATTACTAAATTTTAGGAAAGTTTGCTAGATTCCAATTCTTATGAGAGTGCTAAGTCCTGAATTTGAGCAAATGATTTTACTGTTCATAGGTCAGAGTTTAGGTTGCAATCACTGCAATTTTGTTATACCGTATATGCCGGTGTACAAGGTGACCCGGCGTATAAGACGACCCCCGTCTTTGTCGCCGAGCTGCATTCCTAGAACATCGTGTTATACACCGGAAACTACCAGTATTTCAGCATATAAGATGACTCGGCGTATAAGACGACCCCCGTCTTTGGCGCCGATTTTAGCGCTTGCGGAAGTCGCCTTATACGCCGGCATATACGGTAATTTAGATATCATAATTACCTACCAGATTTCAGACATTTGAGGAAAGGCCCTCTGGTATAGTATATTGTATCATGACTCTCAAGGCCTGAAAAAATTGCTGAATCTTTTAGATCAAGTCAAAATGTGCCTAATCTAGATCTAATTGGTTCGAATCTTAATTCTTTAAAGAGAGATGGAAGCTTTTCATTCATCACACAAGATTTCTGCTCCAGAAGAAGAAAGCGGGTGGTCGTATGGATCAAAGAATTTCCCTATTTTTCCCCCAAAATACAATCTCGAATGAATGGTGGTCAGGAAGGAAAAAACAGAAGTGCTGGTTTTGTGGGATGAAAAAGGAACAGGTATTATCTGATCTATATTTCTATCAGCAGGAGCATTCAGAGTGGATGTTTTTTCAGAGATCACTCCTTCTGGTCAAAAGAAAAGACATTTTGCTCTAACCCAAACAGAAGTATTCCCTTATTATAGCCATAGGAGGAAATGAACCACTTAAAGCAATACCAGTCATCAGTGAGGATAATGGTTCAGACTAAGAACATGTCTTCCCCCTTCAAATCTGTTATTTAATTATATAAGTATTTAGGCAGAATTAGTGCTAATAAGAAAAAGTGTTTAATCTGCTCTTAAATTGGATGATCATTAGATGATTAGGCAACAAATGGCCAAAACAACTCAGAAGCTTTTTTTTTTAACTAGATAATTTAACATACTTGAGCCTCAAGCTGACATTCAGTCAAGGACATCATTTCATCATAGGTCATCTGGGAAAAAAGGGCAGCATACTTATGGAGACGCAGACTTTTGAGCCAGGCAGGAACATCTATATGTGGAACAGGTAAGTACGACAATTACATCTTAAAAGTAGCAGAGCAATCATTACGATAATCTGCTCATAACCAGTTGCTTGGGCCAATGCCAAAAATTATTTTAAAAATTATAAATAAGTATACCAACAATTAACAAGACATAAAATTACACAAATAAACTGTAGTGAAAAGCTGAGATATATATATATATATATATATATATATATATATATATATATATATATATATATATATATATAAGTCCTTGCCTGTAAGTAAAAGTAAAGATAAAGGAGTCGCAATGAGTTTTACTCCGCTAATTGTAGGTGACTTTAGGGGGGGGGGGTGGTCATCTCTGTTTCTAGGCCAATGAGCCAGCAATGTCAGAAGATATTTCTGCAGTCCACAGTGCAAAGTGTGTGTGGCAAAACAGAGAGTGCTTTTACCTTCCCATTGAAGTGGTAACTATTTATCTACTTCCATTTACATGCTTTTGAACTGTTAGACTGGCAGGAACTGAGGCAAGTGAGGCACTCCACGCAAGAGTAGGACTCGAACCACCAGAGTATAAACTTCTCTGGTGTCTATTAAATCACTGCACCACTGTGCCTCCTTGCCTGTAGGAACTGCCAGCAATCCATGAGGAGGCTCTGGGAATACATGCAAATAGTCAAAAGTTTGTGGGGTGGTAAGTTTTGATGCGAGGGGACTTCTCTGGGGTACCCTTCTGTTTTTCAAACAATTGCCAGGGGAAGAATGTGTTGAATGGCTTGGGAAAGGCAGAAAGAATGGCACTTAACAATATTTCATATAATACTATGTTGTATTAGTCTGTTACTGCATCTTTTTTTCTATTTATATTTTTCAAACCTAGAAATGTAGCAAAAACAGAAATAAATTATAAGTAAATAATAACAACACAACCAGATGCGTAATTGCAATAAGAATGACAGAAAACCAGTCTCTCCATGGACTTTTATATAGTACACATTTTTCATAACCAATATATGTATTTACTTACCTACCATTGTATGCTGCCTAGTCTAGTGACTGTACAATATACAATACAAGCACTGGAAGGCAACATAAGAGAAACGTTCAGTGTTGTTCATTCTGTATGATCTAAACTGGACAGCCAGAGGCCTTATACCCTTTTCCAGTTGTCTGTAAAAATCTTTGTGAACTGCCTCTGAACCCAGGAAGAGCTTAAAACTTTATAACTGTTTTCTCCGAAGTAGCAACCTTCAGACTGTCAGATTATAACACAGGATGGCAGACACATTGCATCAACACATCGCTGGATTTGTAGTCTAAATAATTCCTAGTTGGGAAAAAGCGCTTTTTTGGGGGGGAGGGGAGTTATTAACATGGCTTCTATATTGCCTCAAACACACACAAATTAAACCTTAAAAACCTCACACAAAAATAAAATGAACTATTTTGGAATAATGCTGAGCCTCCTCCGGACCATATCATTCCAGGACACCTGGATAAGTAACTCTTGGTTTCCAAACCAGAAGTTTTGCACCTCTTTAGAACTGAGCCCTAAAAGAACTTAAGAGAGAAGGCAATAAAGAATGAAAAGATAAGCAATCAAGTTGAATAGCATCTGATAACTCAGAAGATTTTCAGGATCACAGTGAAGAAGAGATTCTTCTCGTCCCCGAAAAACATTTTAGAAAGAGGTTTAACCAGCTTCTACTCTTTTTTATTAGGACATTTTTTTAAAAAAAAAAAGATGTGATAGGAGGGGCTGTTTTAATCTCTTCACACCAAATGGTTTGCATTAACAAACAATCCAAGAACTGGTAATCCTCCTCCTTCCATGTTCATCTGGATAAAATATTCCCCAAGTTGGTATCACCTCACGTTCTCTGGGGACAAAGGTCTAATACAGGGGTTCCCAACCTTGGCCACTTTATAACTTGTGGACTTCAACTCCGAGAATTCCTCAGCCAACATGATTGGCTAATACAACTCAACTCTAATACAACTCAACCCATGGTCTCAAGAAGCTTCGGCCCTCCCCCATTCCTACCTGGAAACACTTGTGCTCTAATGGTGAACTCTGAACTTGAGTATTTCAGAAAGGCCTGTGAAGGTTGCATTCACTTAGTGGCTTAAGCCCATGATGTTACCAGCCTTGCAAATAATTATTGACTTTCTTTCTCTCTTTTTGGAGAGAAGTATAAGGATCTCCGATGTCACTGTTGACCTTCTAGAACTAGATAGGATTGGCCTGGGAATCAGAAGAAATATCAGGGCAAATAACCAGGAGCATTCGTTGAGTTCAAAGTACAGAAGAGTTTATTATTGCTACCTTTAATACAAGAATCTAGTCAACCAATAGTTAAAGCTAAACTGGCACTAATAAGGGTCAACAGAATTCACAGGAGTCTGAACTTAGATCTTTTGTGACAATGCAATGACTCTAAACTGATGACACATTTAGCCCTGCCTTCCAGTTCAGCCTCTTCTGCTATTGACTCTCCTAGAAGATGAAGGGAATAGAGGTTGGACAGGTGAAGGATGAATAGAACAGGTTACAACAGGCATGAGAATCTTGCATGGCTTCTAAAAATATATTGTATAAAAACAATGGTCTGATATCAAAGAATTTATACAAATTTTATGCTGGGCAGGGTATCATTCAAGGACATCACCATTGGTATTCTAGAAAATCATGTTTTATTGTGAAGAAGCAGTGGGCTTATGTACAGGGCCTGTTTACTCCCACCTCCTTCCTTCCATTACTCTACCTAGCTAAACAAAGGTTTTACTTGTTTACCAGGTTACACAAACTGATTCTTGTTTGCTGTTTCCAAACAGGCTAAGATTCCCAAAAAGAAAGAAGAAAACCCACTTTGCGATCCTGACTATAAAGGAAGTAGGAAACCAAGATCTATAATTAGGATATTATGATTTAAAAACCATCCCTGATTTTTTAGCCATTTATAGTAGAGGGAAGAAACAGCAGGCAGAGAATTCATGATAAGACTGAACTGTCCAGATTTCAAGCACATTATAATGCTTGTAGCATCAAAATAATCTGCTCATTTAAGCATTTGCACTTGTGAAAGTTTGCAGTAGGGATACCAACCGAGTAAGCCAATCAACAATCAATTAATTAAGCCATGTGAATGTTCTTTTCCATTAAAAATAATACCCACAAACATGATAAATTTGTAGCAAAATAATAAAATGGTGCATGAAAATTAGACTTTTTTTCTCTGTTGTGCTGAATTGTTGTGAAGAGTCTGACGTTTTACTTTTATTCTCCATAAATTTTTGTTTACAAGATTCAGAATCATGGTGGGTACCATGTTGCACACTTATACAATCCCTAAGCAATAATTGCATGGCATGAATTCATGCTAATTATAAAATGGAAATTAGTAGCTGTCTACTAACAGGTTTGTAATTTAGTCCTTTTTACTGAGCTGCCATTCTGACATTGCTCAAATAATTGTGTTTCCTCTTTGCATTCTTTAATTTAAAGCAGTTCTGACTGCGGAATTCTGGAAGTTGAAGTCCACACATTTTAAAAATTCCCAGGTTTGAAAAACACTGATTTCAACCAAAGCAGCGAAGCCATATGCAAGTCTTCTAAGTGTCACCTGTGGCAATGGGAAGCAAAACGAAGCAAAAGCACAACTCCCATAAAGCTCCCCTCTTCAGAAGCAGAATGAGCTGCAGCATTGGGACTGGGAAAGGGTCATTTCCTCATTACGCTATTGAGGAGAAGCAACAGATGAGAACAGCTAACTCCTGGTTAACATGCCATGGAGATAAGCACAGATAGACAAACACATGGAAGGTGATTTAAAAAAATTCCCTCTTATGCTGATGGTTGAGATGCAGATGCCAGAAATATTCTACACACAGGAGTATTTTCAACTTGGGGCCGTCCAGATGTGTTGCATGTCAACTCATAATTCTCAACCAGCAAGGACTTGTGTACATTCATCTGGAAGTAACAGGTCCAGGAAAACTATTATATTTATTATTCAATGGAATTGCATAAGAATAGGAGAGCTTTGCACTATCAAATTAAATACAGGTAGTCCTCAATTTACAACAGTTCATTTAGTGACCATCCAACATTACTACGGCATTGAAAAAGTGACCATTTTTCACACTTATGACCGTGGTAGCATAACTTCCAATCATGCTTATGACCACAACTGAGCCCAAAATTTCTATTGCTAAGTGAGGTAGCTGCTAAGTGAATGTTGTCCCATTTTAGGACCATTCTTGCCACACTTGTTAAATGAATCCCTGAAATTCTTAAGTTAATATCATGGTTGTTAAGTGAATCTGGCTTCCCCATTGATTTTGCTTGTCAGAACGTCGCAAAAGGTGATCACATGACCCCGGGACATGTTCGTAAGTCATTTTTTTTCAGTGCTGTTGTAATTTTGAACAGTCACTAAATAAACTGCTGTAAGTTGAATACTACCTGTACCGTTTCTGAGGTTCCATTTAACAATTTGAATTGATATTAAGCTGGGAAGAGGCAACCAGGCACACATTCCATGTGTCACTGTGTAATTTCCATGTGTCACTGTATTATTCAAGCCTGGTGGCTTGTAATCCAGAATATCTGAACATCCCCAATTTCCCTTTTATCTGCTTTAAAAATGGATCATCTTCTGCCACATGAACCTCCCTGCCCAATCAGATCAGACTTTCTGGCTTGGACAATGAGCAGTCAGGACTAATTGGTACCTGAAGGGCAGACCACCAGGAAATCTTTTGGTTGCAAACTAGGGAATTGAAAAAAAACATGCTGGAGTGAGGATAATTGATCAGTGGAACAGCTTGCCTTTAGAAATTGTGTGTGCTCCATCACTGGAGGTTTTTAAGAAGAGACTGGACAACCATTTGAGCAGGGCGCTGGACAATAAGACCTCCAAGGTCCCTTCCAACTCTGTTATTCTGTTAAGGAGGCAGGGCCAAGAATGCCTTCCTTGTTCAACTACCGTACTGTTTGCTAATGGCTGCAGAGCTCCAAAACACACATCTCCTCCTTACACCTGTGTCAAGGTTGTAGATTTATTGGCTGTCCTGGGAGATGGCTCAGATGGGAGGGAAAGAAGCTAGCACAGGTGCCTATAATGCCCAGATGATTCATTAGTTCTCTCCATTTGTGTTCTTGTGTGTGTTTGATATGCATAAACCAGAACACCAACTCTTTTTTTTCTCAGCCGGCTATTCCAAATGTTTTTTTTTTACTGAGTGGGCTCAAATACTCTGCTAAACTCTGGTTTATTAAACACTGTTTATCAAATATACAGCAACTGCCTGGGTTTGCACAACATAAGCCAAAACAAAATAAACCAAGTTATAATAATAATAATGATAAAGTTGGAAGGTACCTTGGAGGTCATCTAGTCCAACCCCCTACTCAGGCAGGAAACCCTATACCATTTCGGACAAATGGCTGTCCAGTTTTTTCTTAAAAACTTCCAGTGTTGGAGCATTCACCACTTCTGGAGGCAGGTTGTTCCACTGGTTAATTGTTCTAACTGTCAGGAAGTTTCTCCTTAATTCTAGGTTGCTTCTCTCCTTGGTTAGTTTCCACCCATTGCTTCTTGTCCTGCCTTCAGGCACTTTGGAGAATAGCTTGACTCCCTCTTCTTTGTGGCAGCCCCTGAGATATTGGAACATTGCTATCATGTTCCCCCTTGTCCTTTTCATTAACCTAGACATACCCAATTCCAGCAACCATTCCTTATACGTTTTTGATTCAATGCAATGGACGAATCCAGTGTAATGGACTGTAATGAATGATATTGGGGAACGAGAGGAGGAGATGCTACCTAGGAAATAGACGAGAGAGGCAGGACCCCACAGACACTTAATGGCCAGAGAAAGAAACTTAAGAAAGATTTGTCCTAATGGATCTAGCTGGTAAAAGTGAAAGTGGGAAGTTTGTGCCTTCAGACTTGCAAGTTTCTGTTAAAGAAGCCTTACAATAAACTAGAATTAGTTCATTTTGTTGTGTTTTCTGTCTGGTTTGGCTGGGAGGGCTGACACCCAGGTAATGTGCTTCATACTTTTTATATTGAAATTCGGATTGCAGAATGTGATATTTCTTCACTTAGCTTGATAGCCATCTTAAGGGGAGGTGTCTCATCTCAGCTAATAAATAAACAGGAATAACTCTTGCAAATTGACCTGTTTAACAGAAGAATTGCAATCTGCAGTATAAGGTCAGAATGGAATTAAAATGCCTCCATATTCTGTTTCTGAATAATGTGTTTCAAACAACTTCAGGACTTTGTGTGAATGTAGGCATGCATGTTGTTAAGCAATCAGGACAGGAAGGGAAAATGTGCATTTCTTTCCACTCACCTTTCATACCACTCCCTTCTTCCTGGAATGTGTTACGAGTAGAAGTCTGATCTTCTAAATGTTCACTCCCACCACTGCCTGAAGAGGCTACACTGCTTTGCGGAGACAAGGGGGCATGATCAGAAGGGATGCCCTGGGGTCCTCTATCCCGCAAGTCCTCATGAGACATCCATCCGTGTCCGAGGGGCTGGCTAGGCACAGTCATGGGTGGGGTGAGGGACACAGACCGTTTCAGAGGGCTGTGATGGGTCTGACTTGAGAGAACTGAAACAAACAAGGTAGGAAAAAAAATTAAAGCAAGCTATTTCTCCCCCAATGGTTAGCAGATCAAAGCAAATGTCTCCCTTGAATGCAAGTCACCATTTAAACCAGTGGTTCTTAAATGGTTTGACCCAATTACTCCTTTTTCTGGTCTGACATAATGGCATTACCCTCACCAAAAAACCAACCAACCAGACGGTTCTTTTATACAAGCGTCTTGACAATGGCAGTCTGAAACTGGATCCTGAACTCACAAACAAGCAATTATAAATTGCTCCATTAGTCCCAGGATATGTGCGGCCCTTGGTGCTCGCTGATCTTGCTTGCAGATGTTTCATTACTCTAACTAGGTAACATCATCAGTGCTAGTAAGGAGTGCTGTTTGCTGTCAGTTTATATTCTGGTTTCTTGCCTGTCTGTATGGATGGGGGTGATCTTAGGGATTCTTTGGTTGGGCTGTTTACTAATGGCTCTGTGGCAGTTTCTTGATTGGGGTATTGCTTGATTGTTGGTCTGAGAGTGACCTTGGAGTTAATTTCTGCTGATCTGAGTGCTGATTACTGGTGGAGAGGTGCTGGAGTCTTTTTCTCTTTTGGGCTGGTTTGATTGTCTCTTTTGCATAATCTATAGATGTTGTTAATGTTTATGTATCTATTGATGGCTGATTTGTCAGAGTGCCAGGCTTCTAGAAATTCACTGGCATTTTTTGATTTGGCCTAATCTAGGATTGTCACATTTCCTCAATGGAAACTATGGTTAAATCTGTCTATATATTGTGAAATTAAAGAATTTTCATCATGCCTTTTGACTGCCAGTTGGTGTTCATGGATGCACTCTGCCAGCCTTCTGTTTGTCCTACACAGTGGTTGTTACAATTCTTACAATATATGCTGTAGATGACTCCTGTTTTTTCTTCTGGGGTTGCTGGGTCTTTGGGTTTACTTAGGATGTTTTGAAGGGCTTTTGTCGGCTTGTGTGCTATGCTGATTCCATGTGGTTGTAGTAGCCTATTTGCGGTTTCTGAGATATTCTTGATGTATGGCAGTGTAATTCTTTTTAGGGTTTGTGCTGTATTGGGTTGAGTGGTCAGAGACTTTTGGATGAAGTTGCATGGGTATCCATTTTGTTGGAATGTGTTGTATGGATGCTCTATTTCCTTTTTCTGCTGTTTTGGCTTGCTGCGGTGTGTTTGGGCTCATTTAAAGTCCTTACACAGCTTTTCTTGTAGGAGGTTGGGTTGTTGCTTTGGTAGTGGAGCACCTGATTAGTGTGGGTGGTTTTTCTGTAGACTTGCATTTCTAGTTTGCCACTGTGGTCTCTGCTGATCAGGATGTCTAAGGAAGAGTAGCGAGTTCTTGTTTTCTTCTTTTCTATTAAACTGGATTCCTTTAAAAAAAATTATTGATGGTTCTGTGGGTGTTCTCTGATTGGTCTTTTTTATTATGGTGAAAGTGTCATCTACATATCTGATCCATATTTTCAGTTGTATTTGTGGAAGTGCTATGGCTTCTAGATGTTGCATGACGACCTCCGCTATAAGTTCTGAAAGCGGTGATCCCATAGGTGTCCCTTTAATTTGTTGGTAAATTTGGCCATCAAATTGGGAGTATGTAGTTAAGCAGAGGTTTATGAGATCCATAATCCTGGGTGTTTTGATTTTTGTGTATTCAGTTAAGTCAAGTGTGCTGTGAAGCAGTGCAGTCATGGATTCTTTGGCTAATTCTGGATCTATAGATGTGAACAGGGCTGTGAAATCAAATGAAACCATGATTTCATCCTCATCTATAGTCACATTCATGATTGTTTGAAGACACTGTAGTGGAGAGTTAATGGAGTGTTGGCTTCCTCTTGTGAGATGCCCAAGCTTTCTTGTTAGTTCTTTTGCAATGTTGTATGTAGGGGTCCCTGGTAGAGATTCGAGTGGCAAAAAGGTCATAAAATGGGGCTGTGACTCATGTAACAATTGCTCTGCTTAACAATGGAAGTTCTGGTCCCAATTGTGGTTGTAAGTTAAGGATTACCTTTAAAACATCACTGAAACACAAACAAAGAAGGAAATTTGACCTATAAGAGATGGATTGTGCCTAGCAAAGGATGATTGCCGGCTCCATTTTCCCTCTGTAGCTTACTCTGCTTCTTTTTTCCTTACTTGCCTGAGCTTCTGGGACCTAGGCTTCGGGTTACATCTTCACATGCATCCTTATCTCTGTCACCTCTAAAACCCTTTCTGCATGTCTATCAAACCAAATCAAAAGACAGTGAATAAATTTATTTTCCTCCAAACGGCTATGATGTTATTCAGTCGTGTTCCTCAACAACAGACGGCTAGTTTCCTAATCAAGTAAACAGATCTGAGGTGTACCGGAAGACAAATTACACAACTACTGTTATTATAAGAACATAATGTTTCTCCTCATGCAGAGAAAGCAGTGGAACGAATTTATTTTCAGAAAAGAGCATTTGGGGAGGGGGGATGCGTGTGTACTTTCGAGTCAGTTTTCGACTATTGTTGAGACTTTTTTAGTCATAGAACTACTTTATTTTATATAGACCTATTTCTTGGAAGTATAGATCTCACTTGACACACTTAAAAAAATCAATGAAAGCAGCAAGCATATAAAATGGAGATCTGCTCAAAATAAAAGTTACAGGTAGTCCTTGACTTATGACCATAATTGAGCCCAAAATTTCTGTTGCTAAGTAAGGCAATTGTTAAGTGATTTTTGCTCCATTTTATGACCTTTTCTGGCACAGTTGTTAAATGAATCACTGCAGTTAATAAGTGAATCATGCGGTAATTAAACAAATCTGGTTTCCCGCATTGACTCTGCTTGTCAGAAGCTGGCCAAGAAGACTGCAAATGTTGATCATATGATCCTAACACATGCCAGTTGCCAAGTGCCTGAATTTTGATCACGTGACTCTGGGGAGGCTGCAAAAGTTGTAAATGTTAAAACCGGTTATAAGTTTTTTCATTGTTGTTGAAACTTCAAACTTCAACTTAAAAGAAATGGTTTTAAGTTGAGGACTACCTGTAACTATTTAATAATCACGAATCACTCTTGTTTTTATTATTTGATTTGTCACACTAACTTGGATTTTGGGGGGTGGGGAGTGCAACTCGGGGTCAAATTCAACTACTTTCAATTTTTCATTTTTGTGAATACACCCAGTTTGGTTCATTAAACTGTTTTAAAAATATTTATGGTAATATATTGATATGACCGTATAGTCAAGGCCATGGTTTTCCCAGTTCCAATGTATGCCTGTGAAAGTTGGGACTATAAGAAAGGCTGAGCACAAAAGAATTGAGGCCTTTGAACTATGGTGCTGCAGAAGACTCCTGCGAGTCCCCTGGACTGCAAGGCAATCAAACCAGTCAGTCCTAGAGGAGATCAACCCTGACTGCTCTTTAGAAGGCCAGATCCTGAAGTTGAAACTCAAATATTTTGGCCACCTAATGAGAAGGAAGGACTCACTGGAGAAGAGCCTAATGCTAGGAAAGATTGAGGGCAATAGAAGAAGGGGACGACAGAGAATGAGGTGGCTGGATGCAGTCACTAAAGCAGTAGGCATGAGCTTAAATGGACTCCAGAAGATGGTAGAGGACAGGAAGGCCTGAAGGAACGTTGTCCATGGGTCAGAAACGACTTCGCAACTAACAACAATAACATTGATATGACTGTATTCTGTCAAATTGATGCTGACTCTTAACCAACCACATAGATCTTCTGGGGAATGTCTTTTTTGCAACCTGTCTCTTCAGGTTTTCTAGTGACTCAACCATCACCATACTCTACTTCAATCCATCAACCTTGCTGCTGGTTGTCCTCTTTTTCTCTTTCTTTCCATTGTTTCCAGCATTACAGATTTTCTCTAGAGAGCCGGTCTTTGCATAATGTAATCCAAATACAATAATTTTGCCATGAGTGAGAACTATGGATTGATTTGTTTTATCATTCATTACTTTACTTTCTTGGCTATCCATGGTAATCTCCAGAGTCTTCTCCAACATCAGAGGCATCAATATTCTATCCTCCTCCTTCAAAGATCAACTTTTGCTTCCATAAAATATTACAAAGAAAACAATTCCCTGCATGATTCTGACATACCCAAGCCTCTGAATATTTTTTTTTCCCAAGGACTTCATTGCTACCCAACTACTGGTAAGTCCTAGCCTGCAGCATATTTCTGGATGCTTGCTTAATGGATCCTAAAAGGCAGAAGCTATCCACCACTTCACTATCTTCACTGTCAGAGCTAAAGCTGATTGCTGTATCTGTTGTTATTTGTTTTGCTTAAAACTTAGGCTTAATTTTTTCCCCTGCCCTTTTTGATTTTCATTACCAGAGATTCCAAATCATGTGCATTTTCAGTTAAGAGAGCAGTATCGATCACATAGTGCAAGTCACTGATGTGTCTTTATCCAAAATCATTTTCCAGTCCAGCCTCCCTCAATATATATTCAGCATAAAGATTGAATGATTTAAGGAAAGACTATTGAGTCTTGTCTTACTCCTTTGCCAGCCTGGAACTGGTCTGTTTTACCACATTTTATCTGGTCAGTGGTTTCCTGTCTTGTGTACAGTTTTCCCACAAGAACATTCTGGGATTCCCATTTTTCTCAGAACATTCTATAATTTAACATGGCTGACACAACTGAAGGTCTTTCAATAATCAAAGAAAACACAGGCTGACTTCTTGTTGGTATTTGTGGCTTTCTCAATTATCCAGTGTGCTTTAGTGATAATGTCTCTTGTTCTTTGACTTTTTCTACAATGAAAACTTCTGGCATAAATATTTCCACGTTGGGCTCTAATTTGCACCAAATGATTCTAAGCATTATTTTGCTACTTATTTTTTTTTCAACTGTATGTGTTTGAGGCTATAATTTTGTCTATTAAAAGTTTTCCAAATAATTTCTTAACATACCTAGTAAGGATAAAGGATGGCCGTCTGAATTCATTTTTGACTGATTTCCTACTCATTGCTATTGATTGTTG